GGGACGGGACGAAGGGGGGAAGAGGGGGGGGAAAAGGGGGGGAAAACGGGGGGAAATTGGGAAAACCCAGGGGAAAATGGGGAGAAAACGGGGGGAAATTGGGAAAACCCGGGGGGAAATTGGGAAATCCCGGGGGAAATGGGGGAAATTGGGCAAAACCTGGGGGGAAAACGGGAAAACCCAGGGGGAGAACCAGGGGGGAAATTGGGAGAACCAGGGGGAAAACGGGGGGAAATTGGGAAAGCCTGGGGGGAGAATGGGGGGAAACCAGGGGGAAATGGGAAAATGCAGGAGGAGGGGGAGAGCTAGAGAGAAAATGGGGGGAAACTGGGGAAAACTGGGGAAGAACCAGGGAGAAAAATCTTAAAAAATAGGAGGGAAAAAGTGGAGAAGGGGGAGCAGACGGATTTGGGGGTGACTCTGTCCCCCCATCCAGGGTATTTCATGGACCACGCGGTGCAGCTGCAGGACCTGCCTGTCAGGTACAGGGGGGCTGTGCCCCCCCAGGGACCCCCTCCCCTTGTGGGGATCCCACCCTGCTCCCCTGGGGGGGCTCTGGGGTGTTTTGGGGTCCCCCCTGAGCCCCGTCCCCCGTCAGGGTGGTGTGCTCCAGCACCTGCTACCGCGCCGAGACCGACACGGGCCGCGAGCCCTGGGGGCTCTACCGCGTGCACCAGTTCACCAAGGTACTGGGAGCACTGGGAGAGCACTGGGAGAGCGCTGGGAGGGGAGGCAGAGGCGGGGGGCTCACCCCCTGTGCCCCCCCAAAGGTGGAGATGTTCGGGGTGACGGCGGCCGAGCGCGGGACGGAGAGCGAGGAGCTGCTGGACGAGTTCCTGGGCATCCAGAAGGAGATTTTCTCGGAGCTGGGGCTCCATTACCGGTGAGGGGGATTTGGGGGGGGGTCCCCCCAATCCGTGGGACCCCGAAATCTCTCCTAACTGTCCCCCCCCGGGCCCCGCAGGGTCCTGGACATGCCCACGGAGGAGCTGGGGCTCCCCGCCTACCGCAAGTTCGACATCGAGGCCTGGATGCCTGGACGGGGCAAATTTGGGGAGGTGAGTGGGGAGTCTGGGACCCCAATAACTCAGGGGGACCCCGAATAACTTGGGGAGAACCCCGATAATTTGGGGAGAGCCCCAGTAATTTGGGGAGGATCCAAACAATTCTGGGAAAACCTCAAAAACACAGAGGCGCCCAGGGTGACGCTCCCCTCACCCCCTCCCTGTTTACGGCCCCCCTTTATTGTCACCTTTGCTGCCGGATCAGGACCCCCATTTTGGGGGCCCCTGCAGCGGAGGAGGGGGCTGCCCCAAACCTGCTGACCCCCTCTCCCCCTCACCCCCCAGATTTCCAGCGCTTCCAACTGCACTGATTACCAGAGCCGCCGCCTGAACATCATGTACAGCGGGGAGGGGGGCCGGCTGAGCCACGCCCACACGGTGGGTGACCCCCACCCAAGACCCCCGGCAGACCCCCAAAAGCCCGGGGAGGGGGGTCTCTAGGCCCCCGTGACCCCGTGTGTGCCCCCCCCAGGTGAACGGCACCGCCTGCGCCGTGTCGCGGATGCTCATCGCGCTCCTCGAGTGCAACCAGCTCCCGGTGAGTGTTCTGGAGGGGGGTGGTCCCGCGGGGGTCTGGGGGCTCCGGGGGGGGCTCACCCTGCCCCGCGTGCCCCCCCAGGACGGCCGTGTCCGGGTGCCCCCCGTGCTGCAGCCGCTGGTGGGGCGCGAGGTGCTGACCCGGCCGCCCTCCCCCCTCCTGCGCTACATCGGCCCCAACCAGCCCGGGGGGGGCCCCCCCAAAACGGGGCGGGGGTCCTGAGGGGAGGGGTCCCCCTGGAGGAGGCACGGACGGAGCTGGGACATCGCGAGACAGCGCAGACAGGAGGTGGGGCACGTGTGACAGCCCCGTGTGACAGCCCCGGCCGCGGTGACAAATCCCGGGAATAAAACCTGGAAATCGCCCTTGGCACAGGGGTGTCCCCTTGGCACAGGTGTGTCCCCTTGGCACAGGTGTGGCCTCTGCTTCAAGCGTGCTCTGGGGACACACAGGTGTCCCCCAGTGTCACCCATGTCCCGCACTCACACAGGTGTCCCCTCAGTGTCACACGTGTGCCGCACTCACACAGGTGTCCCCCAGTGTCACGTGTCCCGCACTCACACAGGTGTCCCCTCAGTGTCCTGCACTCTCACAGGTGTCCCCCAGTGTCACACGTGTCCTGCACTCACACAGGTGTCCCCTCAGTGTCACACCTGCACTCAGGTGTCCCCCAGTGTCACACGTGTCCTGCACTCAGGTGTCCCCCAGTGTCACACGTGTCCTGCACTCAGGTGTCCCCCAGTGTCACACGTGTCCTGCACTCACACAGGTGTCCCCCAGTGTCACACACGTCCTGCACTCACACAGGTGTCCCTCAGTGTCACCCACGTCCTGCATTCACACAGGTGTCCCCAGTGTCACGCACGTCCTGCACTCACACAGGTGTCCCCCAGTGTCACACGTGTCCTGCACACAGGTGTCCCCCCCACAATGTCCCCCCCATTGTCACAACGTGTCCTTTGCTCTGAGCGCAGCCTCTCCTTTATTTCCCACTGCCCCCCACAACCCTTGGGGCTCCCCCGGGATTTTGGGGGGCGGGGGGCGCGTCTTCAGGAGGTCCCCCCGGCTGGGGGGTGGCGGGGGGACCCCCAAGCCCATCCCGGGGGGCTCAGGGGGGGTCCCCGGGGGGGCTCTCAGCGCCTGCTGTTGATGACGATGTCGTCGTACTCGTCCTGGGGGTGAAGAGAACTTTGGGGGGGGAGGGCTACAAGAGTGTGTGTCGGGGGGCTTGGGAGGGTTTGGGGGCCCTCCCGGGAGCCCCCCGCTCATCCTGGGATCCCTGGGGACAGGGACAGGGCGGGTGTGTCACCGACTGACCTCGCTGTCCCCGGCCCCGCCCTCGCTGTCGCTGCTGTCGCTGCTGTCGCTGCTGGGGGGGTCGCGGGCCCCGAAGCGGCGCAGGAGGGGCGGCAGGCGGGGGTCGGGGCGGCGCCGGGCGCTGTACAGGGGGGTGAACCCCGAGAAGGTGCGGGGGTCCGGCCGCGCCCCTCCCCGCAGCAAGCACTCGGCCACCTCGGGGCTCTGCGCCTCCACGGCCAAGTGCAGGGGGCTGCGGCCACAGCTCGGCTCCTGGGGGGGCACGGCGGGGTCAGGGGGCGGCGAGGACCTCCCCCCCCCGCCCCAGCCTCGTTTTTGGTTTATTTTGGGGGGTTTTTGGGGGGCACCCACCGGCCGGTCGGGGTCGGCGCCGGCGCGGAGCAGGAGCTGCACCAGCTCCAGGTCCCGGCGCAGCACGGCCACGTGCAGGGGGGTGTAACCTGTGGGGGGGGGACACGGGGGGTCCCAAAGCCCTGCCTGAGCACGTGGGACCTCCCCCCAAATTATTCCCCTCCCGACGTGCCCCCCAAACAAGCGCGACCCCTCGCCAAAAAGCCACGTTCCTCCCAAAATTCCAAACCCGCGTGACGCCTGAGCCGTGTCCCCGTCCCCAAAAAAACCCGCGGAAAACCGTGACCCCCCTCAAAAGCACGATGAGCCCACGACCCCGAAAAGCCTCCCCCCAACCCACGACCCCCCCAAAACGGCGCCCC